GGTGGTTATGAAGAGGTACTAGGGAGGCAAGAGTAGGGTTGATTTGGTAAAGTTAATTTTTGAGTTCGTTTATATCTAGAAGAAGGGGTAGTTTGTTATTAGTATTGTTTTTAGTTCTGGGTTTAATTTTAATCTAGTATGCAGAGGTTTGTACAAAGTAATAGTAATTTTGGAGTTCTCTGGCAATATCTACTAGTTGTTTGGAGGTGGTAATTAGGATGGTAAGATTCATTTCTGTAATATTTTTTGGGTCCTTAGGGAGTGCTGGTTTGCTAGTAGGGTTCACCTTCATATATTCTGATAAGAGAGATAGGCTAAAGCACTAAATTCTTTGTATCTCTTTTAAGAATGATTTTGCTGTAGTGGCATCATTTATAGGAAAAGTATATTGTTGTTCTGCTTAGATATTTAATAGATTAGCTAGTAGGTAGAGATTTCTAATAATATAATTGTTTGGTAGTCTTTTAAAGATGTAGTGTAGATATAGAAGTTCTATGAAATTTTTTAGTTCTTTGAAGTGTGATATTTTACAAGGGAAATAGCATTATAGATTGAATAGAAGTTGTTGTGGAGATAGTGGAAGTGGAAGTTTGGATTTTGGAAGGTTGAAGTATTGAGAGGGATATGGTCTACTTTATATATTTTTTCTAGTTTTCTTCTATATTTGGCCAGGTAGGGTAGTGCAGCTCTTTCAGTAATTGGAAATAGGTTTTTTACTACTAAATATAGATCTGAGGGGTCATTGGGAAGCTCTAGTAATTTCTCAGTAAAGAATTCATTAGGTAGGGTCTCAAATTTGTATATTTTGTGAAGTGCTGCTGTAATTGCATGGATATGTTTATTATCAGTAATTGGTAGATTAAAGGGTAGCATTTGGTGAATATTCTTAGGAATTTCTTGGGGGTTGCCAAAAGAGAAGAGAGTTGCTGGAACAGTGCATAGTGTATTGCTTTCTTTACATCTTCAAAGCTTAAAGCAATTTTGATTTTTGCAAAGTTTGTACAATAGAAGATTTTGTATATAATGTTGTAGGGGTTAGTTTTGATAAAATCAATATTAGTGATATAGTCAACTGCTAGCTTGATCTTCAACTTTTCTGCAATTTGAGCACAGTTGTTTTTATTGATGAATTAGATATCATGGTAGTATTTATACTTTTCCAGGGCCATATTATATAGTGTTTTGTATTCCATTTGGTGTTGAGAGGTGGATGATTTATTACAGGTAAATGATTTGAAGAATGCTATATCATAGTAGTTGAATTTGATGTAGATAGCATCAGGTAGGTTGGGTTGAAGCTTTGTATTCGAGAAAGTTAGTCAATTTGTTTTTATTTTGTAATGCTTCAAGTATTGTATCTATGTTTCATTAATCTGAGTTAAATAGTTGTTTGTAAAAGGATAAAGTATTGACAACATAAAAACTCCAAAGGGAGGATGAGTCATTGGGTTGGGAAGTATTAGATAGTGTGACATTAGTTCGGAGCACCTGGCTATATAATTGGGACTAGTTTAGTAGGAGTTAATTTAAACATTAGTATGCATAGAAGTTAGTGCCCTAATTTCTGTTATGTTTTGTTTATTTTTAGGTAAGGTCAGAGGCAAGGGTAGGAAAATCTCTATTTGATCTGGATCATTTGGGCCAAGTAAGTTCTGGATTGGGTTTGTTGTGTTTATTTTGGGGGGCTAAGTTGGGATGTGTAGTATCTGGATCAGGTAAATATAAAAACAGGTTTGTTTTGTTTTAACTATTAGTACTATGTTCTGGTGAGGAGTCATGTGACTGTTGGTGATTGGCAAACAGAAGTATAGTATTTTGCCCACTTTTTGTATGATTGTATGGATTGTGGCATGTGTTGTGGGGTGAAGTACAGTTTTTATTTTTCTTAGCAGATGGTGTAGGTAGTGTTGAGAGTGATTGTTGGTCAATTTGGAGATTTTCTGAGTCTTGTGTGTTCTGTGTGTTGGTTTGAGTACTGAAAATGCTATCAGAAATAAATTAAAGGATAGACTTTTGTTGTGAGATATTGTTGGTATGCTCCCAAAGAA